CTCTGTCTAGATATTCAGCAATAGTTAGTCGAGGATATTAATTAAGGTTTAAAGAACATGTGGTTATAACTATATGGAATTTTAATCAGTCTACCAAAACAGTACATTTATTGGTTATTGGTATAGTACCATCTAGTTATAGGTACTTATTGAGTAGAAGTGCATATGAGTAAAAACCRCAAGAAGCTTCAGTCGTAAACAATTAACACTTTTTGATGGAGTGATAATGAAACCYTTTAAGTTGAAACACTAGACAGGACACAAAACACTGCAAGACATTATATAACTTTAAATGTATTCGCAAATTGTGTCACTAATTCAATAGTTATGTTTCAAATACACGAGTCTGTTGTTGAATACTTAAATTAATTCAATTAATTTCACTGTGTGATTTCAAAATAAAAACAATATATAGATTCTTGGAATGAAATTTACATTTTATTTGTCTCTTTATCTTATCAATTTATAATCCTACTATCTCTATGATCCTACCTTAATTTCTCATATATATATATATATATATATATTAACAAACCTGTTTTACTATTAAAAACGTTTATCTGTAGATAATTGAAATTTGTACCTAATATATTTTATATTAGTATTTTCAATAAATTATAAAATTAATAAAAATATTTAGAATAATTTWGAGTTATATTTTACACTACGGTCTTATTCAAACCATCCCAGRATACTTTGGTATTGACGATATAATTTGTCAAGTTGATAAAAATAATATTATAATATAATGTGTGATATATTTGGCAAATATAAGACCAAGAGTTTTACAAATAGAAAAATAAATCATAAATAAATTATAAAGTGACCTTATAAATAGAGGCTGATACACTGCAGTTTGAAATTGTTTTTCATTTGCAATAATTTATCATTAAATTCAAAATATGTGACACATCCATTACAGGGGCTAGGTACTTAATGAAGACGTACACTCAACATCTACTAAATATCAGACAGATTTCTCCAGTTTTTACATTTAGGTTGGTCAAGTGAATGTTGAATTAACTGATTAGAAATACGTGTGACGAAAATGGTGATGAGGACTTCTTATATGATTATCATGAAATCCTGAACAACTATTATGGGATAAAATTGTAAATTTCAATTAAGTATATTGCTAGGTAGGAACTACCTATACACTACCAATAACTAATGTGATTAAATAAATTCATGCTTGTACAACATTTAGTTTGAGACTAATTGTTCCAACCGGACAATTGATTTTTAATGTCATGTATGTTCCATAAATTGCGCCATTTGTGTCGTACCTATATTATAATATCTTAATTGAGTTTATTTTTTTTTTTTTATCATTGTATGGTAATTATTCTAACATTATTGTATTTATATGTTAAATCTATAGATATATTGGCCTGWTTGTCTAAAATATCCTTGAAAAATCTTCTAATACCGGTTTGATCGTGTATCCATATAAGTTAAATTTGTTTTGAATTTATACTGATATCGTCATAAAATTTATTTTGGACATGAATTTCTATGTTGWTTGGATTCAATTTGTTTTTTATTGTAACGACCATGTTTAAACAATTACTGAGTAAAACGTAAATTGAGTAGTTGGCCTCATTAGTAATATTAATCATTTAAAATAGTGTTTCTGCTTCAAACTAAGTAAGAATTGTAATATTAAGTTATTAAATTAAGTGGTAAATGATAAATGATTTTAATATCACAAAAAATTTAACATTCAGKATATTTTTTTATAAAATAAAATATTGCACAAAAATATTGTTATTATTTACATACGTACTAATATTTGGTTTCTCGCAAATATATCATATATAGTTAGTTGTCAACCGTATATTTTAATAAATTAATAAAAAGTATTATGCATCCTAACGAATGTTAATATTTTTACTGTATAACTTAGACAGTTGTATTGATGTTTCTAATTAAGTTACAAAAACCTAACCTAACTAACATAACCAATGTATAGGTGTTAAAAACAGAAGAATATCTTAATACAAAATATTATATGTTTCAGGATACACAGTTTATTGTCAAACAAAATATAAGAGTCATTGTACAATGGATGAAATAAATATTTAGTAACATATTATTAGGTACATAAATAGTTCAACTCCGATTTTAATATACACAACAAAAGTATGTTTTTACATTGAACTTGTAAATTCCTTATAATGATTTTGTTTCACAGTGAAGTCGTTTCTATCCCGCCAAGAACCCGCCATCGACTACTAGAGCTGTTCCATTTACCATGGTGGAGTAGTCGCTGAGCATGAAAATCACGGCGTTGGCGATATCATCGGTTTCTAAAATTGATATAAATGCGAGATTTAATATTTATGCCTTGCTCATTTCCGTCGATTGATCGTGCGCGTCAAAATTTATTTCGACGCGATTTCGTTACAAACCTGCAAATCTGCCGAGTGGGATTCGTCTCATTATGGGTTCCGATTTCTCTGGATCTGACCACGCRATTTTACCCATACGGGTCAACACGACAGTTGGATTTACGTTATTCGTACGTATACCGTATTTTCCTAGTTCGATTGCCATGGTCCTAGTAATTTGATTAACAGCTCCTTTAGATGCACAATAAGTCGTATGATCGGGTATGGCTCTCTAGAAAGTTAAAATAAAATGAAAATATATAAATTACGTCATAGACCAGTAATAATAATATCATTTMAACACAGTYACCTGATCTYACCTAGCCTGACTTTTGTAAAACTTATTTAAAATTTAGAAGTTTTTTTTTTTGTAAGTTCATAAGCAGAACATTTTCTTACCGTAGTTTTACTATGACAGCAGTAATATCTTGTACAAGATTATATTGTATTTTCTTGCAATAGGTAAATAATACTATAACTTACTGTGGAAATTGTTGAAGAAATATT